TTTCAGAACCCTCCGGAATTCGGGGTCCGGGAACCCCCGGAACTCCGGGATTTCGGAACCTTCTGGAATTCCGGGATTTCGGAACCCTCTGGAATTCAGAACTCCCAGAAATTCGGGATCCCAGAACCCCCGGAAATCCGGGATTTCGGATTTCCGGAGTTCAGGATCCCGGAACCTTCTGGAATTTCGGATTTCAGAACCCCCAGGATTCCAGGATTTTGGAACCCTCTGGAATTCAGAGCCCCCAGAAATTCAGGACCCCGGAACCTTCCGGAATTCGGGATCCCGGAACCCCCGGAATTCCGGGATTTCGGAACCTTCTGGAATTCAGAGCCCCCAGAAATTCAGGATCCTGGAACCCCCGGAACTCCGGGATTTCGGAACCCTCCGGAAGCCGGGATCCCCGAGTTGCCCCGGGCCGGTCGGGATTTTGGGAATCTCACCGTGCTCGCCCATTCCCGATTTCCCGTCGCCCTCCGGGCCCGGCTCCGGCAGCGCCCGGGCGAAATCCGCCTTGAGCCCGTTGGGAAGCGGCGAATCCCGGGAAGGGCTCCCGCAGGGAATTCCCGCGGATCCGCCCTGAGCCCGCGACAGTTCGGGAACCGGGGCCGGAGCCGCGCGCGGGAGCTCGGGAACGGCGCCGGATCCCTCGGGAACGGCCCCAAATCCCTCGGGAACGGCGCCGGATCTGTCGGGAACGGCCCCAAATCCATCGGGAACGGCCCCAAATCCATCGGGAACGGCGCCGGATCCCTCGGGAACGGCCCCAAATCCGTCGGGAACGGCGCTGGATCCATCAGGAATGGATCCAGATCCATCGGGAACGGTGCCGGATCCGTCGGGAATGGCCCCAAATCCGTCGGGAATGGATCCAGGTCCATCGGGAACGGCCCCAGATCCTTCGGGAACGGCCCCAAATCCCTCGGGAATGGATCCGGATCCATCGGGAACGGCCCCAAATCCCTCGGGAACGGCGTTGGATCCCTCGGGAACGGCCCCAAATCCCTCGGGAACGGCGCTGGATCCGTCGGGAATGGCCCCAAATCCCTCGGGAACGGCGTTGGATCCATCGGGAACGGCCCCAAATCCCTCGGGAACGGCCCCAGATCCGTCGGGAATGGATCCGGATCCGTCGGGAACGGCCCCAAATCCCTCGGGAATGGATCCGGATCCGTCGGGAACGGCCCCAAATCTGTCAGGAATGGATCCGGATCCATCGGGAACGGATCCGGGTCCATCGGGAACGGCCCCAAGTCCGTCAGGAACGGCGCCGGATCCGTTGGGAATGGATCCGGATCCATCAGAAATTGTCCCAAATCCATCGGGAACAGTCTCAGATTCCTCGGGAACAGCTGCGGATCCCTCGGGAACGGCCCCGGATCCATCAGGAACAGCCTCAGATCCTTCAGGAACAGTCTCAGATCCCACGGGAATGATCCCAGATCCATCGGGAACAGCTCCGGATCCCTCGGGAACAATCCCAGATCCCCCGGGAATGATCCCAGATCCATCAGGAACAGCTCCGGATCCCTCAGGAATGGCCCTGGATCCATCAGGAACGGCTCCAGATCCATCAGGAACGATCCCGGATCCCTCGGGAACGGCCCCGGATCCCTCGGGAACGGCCCCGGATCCATCGGGAACGGCTCCAGATCCATCGGGAACGGCTCCGGATCCATCGGGAATGATCCCAGATCCCCCGGGAATGATCCCAGATCCCTCGGGAACGATCCCGGATCCCTCGGGAACGGCCCCGGATCCCTCGGGAACGGCCCCGGATCCCTCGGGAACAGCCCCAGATCCCTTGGGAACGGCTCCAGATCCATCGGGAACGATCCCGGATCCCTCGGGAACGGCTCCGGATCCCTCGGGAACGGCTCCAGATCCATCGGGAATGATCCCAGATCCCTCGGGAACGATCCCGGATCCCTCGGGAACGGCCCCGGATCCATCGGGAACGGCTCCGGATCCCTCGGGAACGGCCCCGGATCCCTCGGGAACGGCTCCGGATCCCTCGGGAACGGCTCCGGATCCCTCAGGAATGATCCCAGATCCCTCGGGAATGATCCCGGATCCCTCGGGAACGTTTTCCACGCGCGTCACCACGAAAATCTTCCTCCCCCTGCCGGGGCTGGAGACGGAAATCCTGCGCTCGGCGTTCCCGGAATTCCCGGAATTCCCGCAGGATTCCAGCACCTCCCTCGAGTCCTTCCCCTCCTCCTCCTCCTCCTCCTCCTCCTCCGTGTCCGAGCTGGAATCTCCGCCCGGGGCCGCGTTCCCGTTCTCCTCCGGGGAGGCTCCCCCGGGAATTCCGGGAATTCCGGGGTCGTCCTCGGGATCCTCGTTCCCGGGGATTTCCGGCATGGAGGCCGAGAGCCGGAGCTGCTGCTCCTTCTCCTCCTTTTCCCGGGCCAGGACGAAATTCCGCTTGCAGCCGTTCTGGATCTCGGCCAGCAGCGCCTTCTGCGTCTCCAGGAAACTCTTCACCTGCCGGGAAAAGAAAAAAAATCCGGGAATTCCGGGGAAAAAAAATAAAAATTCCCGGGAAAAATTCCCCCCTCCGGAATCGTTCCCGGTTTTTTTTCCCGGGTGGGGTTTTTTTGAGGCGCTGGCCCTTTAAGAGGGGAAATCGGAATTTCGGGGGTTTTCCGGGGGAAAAAAAAAGGGATTTGGGAATTCCAAGGAAGGTCGGAGATTCCCGGGATTCCGGGTGGGAAGTGGGGAAAATCATCCGGAAAATCCGGAAAATCCGTCGGTGGAAACGGAATGAAGAGCACGGGAATACGGGAACGCGAAGGGTTGGATCCCGGAGATTCCCGAAATTCCCGGAGCTGAGATTCCCAGGAAATCCCAAATCCATGGGAAAAGCCTGGAAAATCCTGGAAAAACCTGGGAAAACCTGGAAAATCCTGGGAAATCCCAAGCCCGAAGCCCCAGAGCTCAGGAGCCGCTTCCTGCTCCGGAATCCTGGGAATTCTGGGAATTTTGGGAATTCTAACCGCTGGGATTTTGGGGGATTTTTGGGGATTTTTGGGAGTTTCAGGGAATTTGGGGAAATTCCAGGAACTTTTCGGGAATATCAGGAATCCCAGGATGCACCACCCCCCCCTTATACTCACAAATCCCCCAAAACCCCCAAAATCCCCATTTCCCCCTCCAGAAACGCCCGGGAACCGCGGGGATTTCTGGGGATTTTTGGGGATTTTTGGGGGGTTTTTGGGAATATCCGTGAATTCCCGGGAATTCCGGGGACTGACCGCCTCCTTCTTGGGCTCGCGGTCGAGGTCGAGGCGCAGCAGGGAGTGGTTGACGCGCAGGGCGAGCGACAGCGCCATCAGCCCCCCGGTCTTGATGTCGTTCTCGCGCAGGTCCAGGCGCAGCAGCCGGGAGCTCTCGGCCACGAACTCGGCCACGGCCACCGCGCCTGCGGCGGGAAAACAACGGCGGGAAACATCAAT